ATATTCATTCCTCTACGCCTTCGATTCGGATATTTTGTCCCTCGATTATATTAGATGAAATATGTTTTAAGATTTTCTCATAACAATATTAGTAATAAATATATTTTGAGTTCAAATAAACTTAGACTTACATACCCAAATTTTCATGGATTATAATATTTTTCTTTATGTAATAAGTTTTTGTGCTCTCTCAATTTCTTCACCAAATAATTTTAAATTTCGATAATCTCTTTTACAAATTTTATTTCAGGTCTTTATTATAAAATAACATCAATTACTCTCTTATTCGATATATGAGATAGTTTATAGCAATGTATCTTAGTTTGTGAGATTAATAAAAAAAACTGTAACTCTTTGACTTTTCTTTTAATATTTACCACATATATATAATCACATCATTGACTACTCAACCAAAAAAAACATCAATTATTTAAGATTAAACTAGTTCAATACAAAAACATGTTTATCATCGTACAGTAGTACGTCTTATCAGAAAGTGAGAGACAGTAAATTAATGTATTACTAATTACTTGATTAATATTTAACTACGATTTAATTTATTTTAACGCAAGAAAATACTATTCAAGACTTTTTGCATCATTTGCTTCTTGCAAAATTTGGAAATCAATTATGTGAAGGAAATTTTATTAAAATTTGTAATTTTGGTTTGCAACTAAATATATGAGATTTGATTCGTCAAAATTTTGGAAAAATAGATATATGAGCAACGCCGTTGCTATGTACAGAAAAAAGAAACCTTGGCTTTTGGCCCATAATCCTGGAAAAATATCAAAGGTCCATTTTCTATTAGATTTAGATCTAATATTAAAAATAAAGTAACGTGAGTCATATTTTGATCAAAATATTTAAATGAGGATTTTTTTAAGATACCAACTAATTAGAAACCAAAACAAACAGAAAAAAATCTAGGGTAATACACTGAATCACCTAATAAATTTCTTTATTTTTCACGTTTATCTTTTATACTCTTTCTTAATCGGAGATAATCGCCAATTTTTTCGTCTCTATATTTATAAATAAGAACACAATCAATTGGTAAGTATTATTTTCACAAGCATTAATTTTTTTTTTCTGACTAAGAATAAGCAAGACATGATTTGAAAATAAGAATAAGCGAGACATGATTTGAAATTTATCAAACAAAACACGATTTCTAATTTTAAATTGAAATATCCGCATATATTCAAAAATTCTATTTGTAATTAATTCTAAATAAAAATACATAACGTGCTTAAGCGTTTTGTTTTGCTGAAGACATCGTTTGTTTTTACTCTATTTTTTTTTATGAAATGATTTATTATATATAAAAACCGTGTCAAAAAATTCAAGTAATTAGTATTGTCTTCGATCTTAGTATCTGTGGCCACAATTTTGGTTTGTTTGAATTGTGGCAATTTTTTTAAATAATTAGTACCGCCTTTGGCTTTCTTATCTCTCGCCACGGCTTTGTATATGATTAGATACATAAAAATAAATAAACTTAATTCAATTATTTAGGAATAGAAAAACCTAATTCTTTGAAAATATGTGACAAATTTAATCAAAATAATATAATATACTAAAAAGAGTCAAAATAACTTAATGATGAGACTTCTCTATTATTGGTTTTGCTTTTTTCTATGTTTTATTTTTTGCAAAGGTTATAAATTATTTATGAAATTGAAAATTTTAAATTGGAACATGAGAAATTAATTAAACAAGATTTTTAAAAATAGAGTAGCGTAGTAGTAAAATATAAATTACTTCAGACATAAATAGAAAAATAATAACTATTTTTTTAAAACATTATCAAATTTACTTGGAAATCAAATAAAAAAATCAAGATTAAAAGTAACTTTTAATTTGTTTCTTATCAATGTTTTGGATCTTATTTTGTTTATATTCATGTGTGATTCAATTAAGTTTTAAGCTTTTGTAAATTTGATTATTTTACAGGTTATAAAATATATTTTTTTGTCATAAACCCGCATATATGCGGATCATCTACTTA